CCCGGTCTACCAGCCGAAGGGCGCAAGCCCGCTCTGAGCGACAACCTGCAGGTCTAACTGAACAACAACACGACACTGCAACGAAGTTTTACACTTGGAAACCAAACGAACAGAGTGAACGGCATAATTATATGGGGCTAGTTTACTCATTCAAACAGTAAAACTTTTTAGTTTCAGTTGCAGCTTAAAGCTGTTTTACGGCATCTGGTTACCCAGTTTGATTTGCAGGGCGACAACTGTCCCACGACGGATGCACACGAACACCAACGCGTTCTGGGGTGGAAAACGTTGCGGTGAGAAGAAGCTCGACACCCCTTCAAACAAAGCTGTCAGTGAGGCTACTCGGCCGGCCGCCAAGCGCCGCCTCAGCCCCGGCTCTGCTCTGCCCCCCACGATCTAAACACAAACAACCCCACTAGTTTTCATTTTCGCGGGAAATCATGAGGGCGGTTTGTGTCGCCGTCGACGTGGGACAACACCAACAACAAACTAAGGAGTCGGCCCACCCACGGGCCCGGCTCAGGCGAAGCTCAGGCGAAGCTACGCCCGGCAACACAAATAATGGTCTCGAGGGCGCGCTCGCAGTCACACACTCGGAGAGAGAGAGAGAGAGAGAGAGAGAGAGAGAGAGAGAGAGAGAGAGAGAGAGAGAGAGAGAGAGAGAGAGAAGGAGAGCATGCAATACAGAGACCGGCCTTGCACTCACTACGTACTTCTGCTTTTATTTCATCATGAAATTCGGGGCGAGTGGTGGTGGCGCAGCAAGTGCGGGCAGGAAATCTCAAGGGCCGATGGCAGCGGGGGAAAAGGGGAGGGGGGAGGAGGGACCGACCGACAGCTGGAGACCGGGAAGAGGGAGAAAGAACAACTCGATCTGTGCACGGACACGTTTGGAACAAAAACCCAAGGAACGCGACAGGGAAAACGAAAAGGGAAAAAATGGAAAGGGGGGAGGAGGAGGAGAGAGGCGGATTGGGGTGGGCCGACATGCGTAAGGAGTTGTCAATGGCACTCACCCTGGGGTCGTTCATGATCGAGGACGCCGGCAGCCCAGTCAGCTTGGCCATGTTGTCGGCCAGCTTGCCCCGGAAGTCGTCGAACTCGGTGGACGAGGAGGGCGCCAGCCCCGCTGCGTGCAGCGCGGCCGCCAGGGCCGCCTGGTGCTGCGGCTGCGGCGGAGGGGTGGCGCCCGCGGCGAGCGGCGACTGCCTCTGCTGCTGTTGCTGCTGCTGCTGTTGCTGCTGCTGTTGTTGCTGCTGTTGCTGTTGCTGCTCGCCCTGCTGTGGAGACAGCGGCGTCCTCGGCGGTGTGGGCGGCTGCGACGGCGGGCTCGACAGCCGCTGCTGCGCCGCCGCCGCCCGCGCCAGGTTGAAGTTGAGCCCCGCCGGCGCGCCGCCGCCCAGCGACAGCGCCTCTAGGATCTTGCCTGCGGACAAACGAGCGTGCACCGTGAGCATCAGAGAGCGACGCCTGGTAAGGAGAGGCGCGATTGAGCAGTTTTAGCGATGATCGCATGAAAGGCGCAACCCGAATAGGCTGGACGGGCGAGCGGCGCGGCGACCGCCAAGGCGACCGCACCGACTCAATCCGGCGATTCCCTTTTTGGGGAAAGAGCTGCGGGGAGAAGTTCTTGAGGAGGCTGGCGGGGCGTGGCGGCCGGCCGCCGGTCCGCAGCCAGACGTGACCGATCTGCATCGGGCGGGCCCAGGGAGGGCGGCCCGGCCAGCGGACCATACCCACGGCTTTACGTCATTTTTCTTATTTTCCGAACGGGAGGGCGCAGCTCGGCAAGGCGGCTTAAAAGGGGAAAGGAATGTTAGAAAACCGGCCATTAATAGCTGTCAAAAAATTACAATAATGCTCACTTCGAGGTCGTGCCCCCGGCAGGGGCAGGCCGGCTCGGCCTGGAAGTCACCGGGAATATGATCGGCTTTATTATTTTTTGTACCCCTTCCAGTACAGTATTTATACCTAACACGGTAGGCTACACTGGTCCCGATGCATATCTCCCGGAGCCCGTAAAAGGACATTCGGTCGGTGGCGCTGATCCCTGTTCCAATGGGCCGGGCCGCGCGTGATAGAGTGAGGAGAGACAAGCCAAGGGGCGCCCGGCCCGGCCCTGGGGCCCGGCCCTGCCCTCGCCTTGGGGTCGGTCGGCCGGAATATGATTCGGAGTATGATTAATTCGGTGGGTGCTGAGCCCCCGCACGGGTGGACTCACACCACACACGCCCAAGGCCCTCGCCTCGGCCGCGGCCCGCCAAGGAACAGCACAATCCCGGAAAGTGAAGGCGGCGCTCCCCGCCGTGGCCTCGGCCCCGGGGCCGCGCGGGAGCAGATCGGAGGAGACGAGGCCGGTAATGACATGGCCTCGGACGCCTTGATTCGGAAATAATGGGCGACCGCATCAACATACGGCTCAATCCACTTTGATGAAAAAGCCAGCGGAGCAGGGCGGGGCCGGGCGGAGCAAGGCTGCTTCACATCCTCCTCGTCCTGCTGCTGCCGAACGATGTGGTCGACCGGGATGCCTCCGGTATGAGAAATTAGCGGGTCAGGCGAGGTCGGGTGGCGCGGCGGCCGCGGCGGCGGTGGACGGGGCGGCGCGGCTAGCGGGGCCAGCCTCTCGAGGCGCCAGATGGCCAGGATGGAGGAAGCAGAGAGGGCAAAGAAAGGGGAACTTTGGGGGAAAATAACGCGCTGGTTAGAAAGAGCGCGTGCAGCAGTGCAAAAGTGCTGTATTCGTGAACCACGCAGCCCGTCCCAGAGGCACGCGAGTGTGTCGCGGCAGTATAAGTGTACTCGCTGATGGGGGTCAGGCGGAGGGGCGGTAAAGCACCGTGTCGGTGGCGGGGCCGGCCGTAGGCAAGCCGTAGGCGCCCGCTCCGCGACGGCCATCTATGGCAAAGCAGGCGCGTTACTTGGCGCTGCTCGAGCCGAGCGCTGCCGGGCCGGGCCGTGGGGGCCGAGCCGAGCGGGGCTGACAGGGCGCCGCGGCCGCCCCGCCCGGGTACGGCTCAATCTGGTGCGCTGCGGGGTCAGGGCGACACCCTGCGAGCGTCCAGCGCCCATGCAAATGCGCACTACAACACCCCTCTCCGCCCACAGACACACTATCAGTCTCGCGCTCTCTCCGATTTTCAAGCAGAATTCAGGCGTACTTGAGAGTCCGCAGCGGAGTGCTCCAGCGTTATCTAGCAAAGCCATTAGTCTCGAGTGCTTTTCCCCTAAAGAAAGCGACGCGCGCGCCATTGCATGTAAGGAAGGGAAAGGAGAGGGAAGGCGGCGGTGGAGAGCGAGGGGTGCAACGCACGCGGTGCTTTGGAATAAAAATAAATTTTGAGCGTGCTTCAAGTCTACGGTCCTAGGGCAGGATAATCTCTCAACAAGTACCAACGTCCGCCAGAACCCAGCGCCTTCCCTCCGCACACCCATTATGACGTGCAAATCTTTCTCCTTTCCACTCCAGTGGCGCGGCGGTGGGGCAGCCGTTAAAAACTTTCGGTCCAGCCCCGGAGCCCGGCCAGCCTCCTCGCGAGGAAACGGTTATGCTTAATCCTTCCACAAAACACGCCGAGTCAATATGAGGACGTCGTCACAAAGGGTCTGCTACCCTCATCCAACGGATCCAAAGGGGAATAAAGCCCTTGAGAGTCCTCGGCCTCCCCCTTCCCCTCCTCTCGCTCCAGTGGCCCGCCGCGCCCCGCCCCGCCGCACCACCACCACGACGCGTCACCGCTGGTCCTCGTCTTATTCGGAAATCCGGCGCGGGAAACGTTTCATATTCGGGCACTTCCTCAGAAAACACACTCACTCACGCACACATGCAAGGAGTACATGACGAAAAAAAAAAATAATCTGACGTAACCCCTTTTGTGAAGAGGTGTGTTGTGACGGTGCCCGGGGCTGATCGAGCGAGAGCGAAGGGAAACCACCTCGACAATGCAAGAGATATCGAGCGTGAGGACAGAACAACGGTCGGCTGCCCTCCGCCGTAAAATAATAGATCTCCGCTCCCATTTGGTAATAGATAAGGACACGTCTCTCTCCTCTCTCTCTGTCAAGCTCGCTCGACCAAGTATCTCGCGAAGAATTTTGAGGGAGGAAAAATACGCGTCTACCTCCTTAGGGCACCTAGGCTGGGATGAGCCAACAAAAAATGTGAAAAAATCCGCCGGGATGAAACGCGAGGAGGACCTGCAGGTTGGCCGCGATGAGTTAATCTGCGTGCACCAAAACCTTTTTGTCGTCGCGGCATTGGCCCCCTCCCCTCCCCCCTCCAGAAAGTACACAGACGCTCTACTTACACGCTATCGATGCCTCATTCCCTATTGTGAGCCAAATGCCCGTGAAAAATGAGGTCACGATTTTTCCCCTTTTGCACTCATTTCGATCGGCGGCACCCCTCGCCGGCCTGCTTACTGTCCGCGGACTGCGCTCTCCCCCTTTGCTTTCCGCAATTCAGGAATTTTTTTATCCTACGTTAAAAAAGGGAATAGGGGATACAAAAAAAAAAATCGCGATATGCCAGGTCACGAGGGGTGCAGGTCGGCGCGGTGCGGCGCGGTGCGGCGCGGTGCGGCTCGCGGGCCGCGGGGACCCTCCTGAAGACGCTCGGCGGGTCATCTTCCAATATCCCTCTCCTCTTTGTGCAGGCGCTGCGCGGGGAGGACACGCTGCGTTGTGCCGCGGGGGGTGCAGCACGGCGCAACAAGTATTGGGGTGAAATTTGAGAGAAACACACACAAAGAAGGGAAGGAAGGCTGCAGGGCGCGGCAGCTCACGAATGTGAGAACATTGCCCGCGATCCCCCAGCGCCACCCCACATGTCTGTCTCGCCCTCTCCCCCGTCCCTCTTCGCCCTCTCTCCTTTCCCCCAATTCAACCCACCTATATGAGTAGTCTTTACTCTCTCCCTCTCGTTCGCTGCTTCACATTTCTCCACATATTTTTTTTTTGCTATCGGGTCGAGACAAAACAAAACGTCTTTCGGGCCCGAGTATGTGTATAAAGAGATTATTTGGGGTTAAAATGACGGTAAAGGATGCGGAAAGTGAAAAAAGAGGAGGGCGATGTTGAATGCTCAGGTGCGGGCTGGGACCTGGCTGGAGGCCGACCCGTCTGGGGAGCGGAGCGGGACTCGTCAAAGGGGTGCGGAGTCAGATAGCGCAGAGGCATCTTTCGCGTTTTTCGTGGGAACTTTTCCTTTTCTCCCTACAGTAACACTATAACGGAGCCGCCTCAGCCATTTCTGGGTGAGATATGACGTCCGCGGACGCGCAAAATAGATTTACGGAGAAGGAACGACACACGAAACCCTTTCCCCTTATATTGCTCCGCATAACGGTCGAAGTTTTGAATTGAAAGCGAGAAAGGCAGCATGGAGACGATTATTAGTGCAAGCACGAACCGATGTAAGGGACGTGTAATACACAGGTATTTATTAATTATCCATACCAAGAGTGTGTTAAAAGCACATCTATGTTAGATTTTTAATTTTCAAAAGAGGTTATAAGACAATAACATTTTAAAGTACAGTATGAAAAGGATACGGTCCAGGCAGTTGGGTTTATCGGATCACGATCGTCCCAGAGCTTCCACGGTCGGCATAACGCCTGTTTACAGCGCAACAAAAAATAATATCAACGCCACACTCCAAAGGGTGTCCAGCAGAAAGGCGCTACTGAAAGTTCAAAAAGAACATACAAATGGCGGCCAAAACGTTATATACTCTGTGTCATTTGCATGGAGAGAAGATAACCTCATCGTTTATCGCTCGCGAATTATTACTTTTCATTCCACGGTGACGCGTCCAGTCACTTCCATTATTATTATTTTTTATTGTTGAAATCGGTTCAACTCGGCGGAAAAAACGGCTCCCGCTCGCGCGTTTGACGGTTCGAAACGCGACGCAGACGCCTTTGCCTTTATCGTTTTCGCTCTTGAACGTCCGCGCCATAACGACGCCATGATATTCCTTTTAATGAGTTTACACTCGCTCTGTTCTTACACACAGATGGCCGGAATGAATAATCGTAGGATAAAAAAGTGATTAAAAAGGAGCGGGACAGACAGAGAGACGGACGGAAAGCGAATAGAATGGAAATGGACGGATAGGATGCATTAATTCGGCCCACGGCCTCTGCTTGTGTCCCACTGTACTGCTCGGGGCACAAGTGTCGCGTGGAATATGGTAGCCCGGCGGGACACGTGGCGGGCGAGGTGAGACTCACATCTGACACGTGAGCTGGCCATCGGGAGGGAAGTTCCGACACGGCGGAGACTCCAACGGAAGAGCCGGTCGCAGGTTCACCGGACTTAAAATCATACCCCATGAGGCTTTTATTTCTTATTTCCCCTCCCCGTTTTATTTACATTTTCATTCATTTTTCTGCAGCCATAACAACAAAAAACGAAAAATAGGAA